AGGAGGAGGTGGGGGAGGAGGAAGAGGAAGAAGAAGAGGAGAAGGAAGAGGAAGAGGAAGAAGATGAGGAGGAAGAAGAATAGCAGGTGGCGCGAAAGGAAAGCGAGCTGGCAAAAGAAGATAGGATAAGAAATAAAGTGGAAGAAACGAGAGTAGCGCAAGAGAGAGAGAAGAAAGAAATATATGGAGAAAAAGAAGACTACGATTAATAATGAAAATACACAGTCCTCTCATCCCTCTCCACTACGAAGTGCGGTTTGAAATCCAACCATCTCATCATCCCCTCCTCACCCCCCCCTTCTACCAATCTCCGGGATAGAGAGAGCCGGGTTAAAAAAAAGGCATACTAAGGCAAATTAAACCATCCGTTAAGTCAGATTATAATCTTAGTCGGTAAACCAATCTATTGAAGACCCAGCAATAGCATGTTTCCCTTTCTCTCTCCCTCCTTCACTCCCTCTCTTTTTTTTCTCTTTCTCTTTCTTTCTCTCTCTCTCTCTCTCTCCCTCTCTCTTTCTTTTTCTTTTTTTTCTCTCTCTGTCCCTCTCTCTCTCTCTGCTTTATTTTCCTTTTTCTTAAAAGAAAAAACGCGACAAGAAGAGAGGAAAGAAGCTAAGGACTAGATCGCTTTCCACACAGATCTCATAACCCAGCGGTCTCTCTGTTTCGCAATGGATACTTAAAATGGCCGGAGAAATCTCAATATTTTCCCTCTTTTCTCTTTCATACTCGTCTTTTGTGAATGAATGGAAGGAGAGGGTAAACGAAAGGGAGATAGGGTAATGCAGTAACTATGTAATTCAACGGTACTGAAGGTCTGGTAACGGAAATATGAGGCTGAATGGCAAAATTTTTGTTACGGGATTTTGAGATGAAAGGAAATTTATATGTGAGAGACGATAGACGTAGGATTATAATAAGTAGACAGAAAAGGGGTGAGGAAATAAAGAAAACAAAAAATAATAAGGGAAAGAAAATAATTCAATATAGAAATCATCTCGAAAATATATCATGTGAATAAACAATAAAAATAATATCATGTGAGTAAACAATAAAAAGGAAAGCGGACGAAGAGAAAGAGAGAGAGAGAAAAAATATTAATAAAAAAAGGTAATAACTCAATCACTCATCCTCTAAACTTCCCCTCTCTCCTTCCTCCTAACTCCCCTCTCCTGTTCCACCTACTTCTCCCCTCCTCTCCCCCCCCCTCTCCTCATCT